ATTTAGCCATTTCTCCAAATTTGTCAACTTTTGCTTATTTTCTTCGATCTCACCAACTTACATCACAACATCAAAATCACACATCTAATTATTTATCAATTACATAAACATTACATCATTAATTATTTAATTAACTAAAAAAATTACATCTTTATTAATAACAAATTAATTATTAAACAAAACTATTAAATATAAATTAGGCAAACGTGCATTACACGTTGTTTGCACCTAATACTCTTTAAAAATCAAATGTCTATTGGAGATGCTCTTATTAGGGTTAAATTTCTTAATCTTTTTACTAATATTATTTTGGCTCCTCAACCTTTAAAAATGGAATTTTAGATTTTTAACCTATTTAAATTTGTAAATTTAAATTCTCATGTGATGGAATCATCAAATTGAACGTTGAAATCACTTGTGATTTTCATGTGACTTAAAGATGGAGGACAAAATCATATACAATTTTAACGTCCACATTGACTTTCACGTAGGGACTCAAATTCACAAATTTATATAGATTGGAATCCAAAACCCCACCCTTGAAAGTTAAGGACCGAATACTACATTACTGAAAGGTTGAAGAGCCAAGGCTTAAGTCAAGGACGTGGCAGTTTTACCTCCGTATGCTTGGTCCGTAGGCGCATACGCACCGCTGGCAACTGCTTCTTCGGGATCCTCTCCCGTGATATTTTCTCGGTTTGATCCAGTTTAACCTAAAGTTGCTTTTTTGAACAACTGGTGACCATATGAGGGGATTCAGTTCGAACTTTTTTTAAAGGTTAAACGTAAAGGAACAACTGCACGTCTTAAATCAAAATATTGGAGATTCTTTAATTTCACCAAAGTGCAATGAAGCTGAATTTTATAGCACGGCGGGTTTTGATGTCAAACGCATATCTCATGCCGTTGTCAAGAGGCCGCATGTTTTCAAGTTCATCAATGTCTGCAGTTAAGAGATGGGAAGGCGGTGTTTCAATGATTCAAGGTGCCTCCAGAGGCATTGGCCTTGAATTTGTGAGCCCATTTCTCTCAACTCCATAATTATGTTTATTGTGATTTTAATTTTTGATCTAGACGTGGGCTTGGATTTATTTTCAATTGTACACTGTTTTTTTATCTGCTTGGTAGAAAATTAGTGTGTGAGAGAAAATCACTGCATACTGCACTGGGAATTGTACATTATCCTTGATAAGCTATATATATTTCTTGGAACTTCTGAATTTTTGTTGTGTTAGTATCTGCATTCAGGACTTATGAGCAGGCAAGATTATTCATTTCTTCTTGATATTGATATTTTAAATGAACATTGCGCACAGTCGTGCACAATCTTTATTTTATTGACTTCAATGTATTTCTACACTGCTTGTGATGATTTGGGAAAGTTCAAAGTTGATTTCTAAATTATTCCTTTTGTTAGAAATCATACAAGTCCTTGTTGTTTAGCTTTGAGTCGTGAATTTCTGAAGAGAGAAAAAAATTATACCCTTAGTTGTAGTCTCCCATCCTTGCAGTCTGAATGAAATTACATAGCAAAATAGGAATGAATGCCTTGTGTCAATCATTCTGCCAACTGTTTGCTGGTTACGGTTGAATTGTGACTGTGTTATTTTTTTGTCTAGGTTAGACAACTGTTAGAGAGAAACGACAAAGGCTACGTTGTTGCAACATGTCGTAATCCTAATGGGGCAACGGGACTTTTGGAGTTGAAGAATGAGTTTGCTGAACGCCTTGATATTCATAGGTTGGATCTTACAATTGAAAGCACTATGGAGGTATTCTAGCTCTCTTCCTGCTTGCTGATTGGGTTACATATCCAACTCGAAGCAAAAACTTGTAGATTATTTTATATGATATTAGCATGTTATGAGCACCTTTTACGCTTAGCCAAACACATTGTTGTTCAATGTTTTAAGTTTTACATACTCTCAGCAAACCTCTCAGGCTTGTTTTTATTATGCATGCTATACATTTCATATTCTGTATCCGTCGAATTTCAGGAAACAGCGAAGTGCTTAAGAGAGAAATATGGTTATCTGAATCTTCTTGTTAATGCATCAGGCATTCTTTCAATACCTGATGTTCTGAAGCCAGGTAGGTACTGTTTATTGATTTCTTATTTTTGGATTTTTGTATTTCAGAGAAAACATAAAAATTATCCAGAAAGGCATAATGCAGAATCAGATTTTAACTTTGTTCATTGATGACAGTGAAATGATTTTTAACATGTTATTATAGTTAGCTTACTGGTCCATTCTAGACTCGGTAAAATGATTTTGTTCACTTCCAGTACAGAAACAACATTGAGCAAAGTAGAGAGATCATCGTTGCTTCTTGCTTATGAGATCAATGCTGTTGGTCCTGTTTTGGTTGTCAAGGTGTGTGTCTCTCTTTTTCTTTCATTTTCCTGCTAAGAAAGACATGATAAATTAGGTTTCAATTCATTGTCATTATTTTAGTTTTAAGGTGCATTGTTTCAGTTACAAATGATCTTCGGCAGAAATCAAATTTCCTACTCAGAAATAAAGTATATCTTCATTTACTCGTATTTATTGTGTTAGCATATAGCACAGACGCATATTATAGTTTGATTTCCTACCAAGTATTGTATTGCAATTTCTCGAGTAAAGTTCCTGCATTCCCATTTTTGAAGAAAAATAGTCCGTTCCTCATATTCTTACCTCGATTCAGAAACTTATTTATGTAACTAATCCTACTGGTTTATAATTCGTATGAACAGCACATGTGGCCCTTGCTCAAGATTGGAGGTGGCTCTGAGACAAAAAGAGATTTTGCTATTGTTGCCAACATCAGTGCGAGGGTCGGATCAATTGGAGATAATCGTCTTGGTGGATGGCATTCATATCGGGCATCTAAGACTGCACTTAATCAGTGTATGGATCTTTGCTTTTTTCTGGTACCCTTGTTTGGATTTGACATTTTTGTTTTCAAACTGTAACTTCTGTTATTCTGTGTCTTATACATTTTTTTTTTAATGTATACTTCGCTCGAATCTGAAAATAACTGTCTTACAACCATTAAAACAAAACTTTTTTTTCTCAAACTCATTTTTAACAACATATTGTCATGATAAAATATTTTACACGTAAGCCTAAAAATTTTTCCTACTTTTTAATCACACATCCTCCGAAAAATCACTATTCCAAAACTCATTTTAATGATTGTCAAACATGGGCTATTATAAGTGATGATGCTTTTTATAGACACTATCATCCGTTATATATATGTTGGTCTTCTTAGTAATGTTTTAATGCTAAAAGTAAGGTCGTCTGAATCGATGCTTCAATGCTTGCAGTGACCAAGACTGTATCGGTGGAATTTGTACGCAAGAAAGATCCAATTATATGCATTTTATTGCATCCTGGCACCGTAGATACAGATTTATCTAGACCATTTCAGGGAAATGTTCCAGAAGGAAAGCTCTTCACCAAAGAGTTTTCAGTCCAGAAGCTATTGAGCATCATTAAAAATGCTAAGGGATCGGACAATGGCAAGTTTTTTGCCTGGGATGGTCAAGAAATTCTGTGGTGATTTTATCTATATTTTGAACACATCGATATAAATCATTATCTTGTGAAGGTCTATCTTTTTATAAAGAATCATCTCTTGCCGGGAATTCTATACAAGAAAATCTGCAGATTGTCTTGGAGTGTCTTCAATTTTTCTGAGAATTTTCTTGTCATTGTTCTGGGTTATATTTATGATAAAGGCGTATTCTTGTAAGAAAATAACTATGATAATACTTGAGAAAATTGTGGTATCCACTTATTTTAGTTACTTATCGAGCATCATGTTACTGGATGAATCTTAAGGATTACCAGAGCCAAGTAGAAAGGTAATGAAATAATGTAGCATGTCCAATAGATGAAACTTCTCTTCTTGAATCTAAATTGGAAGTTAAATTAAGTCCATAGTACGATACAATATAACAGTGAAGATTTGCACAGAACAGTGCGTCTTATTCAACAGCTATTGCATTCCTAACTTCACCGCAATCTTATCATCTCCAAAGCGCACCTCAGTGGATCCTGCAAATCGAAAATCGATTTTAGACCATTTCATATTTAAAATAGTATGATACATAAACATGAAATTCGATCAGTTGGCGCTGGCACTTACGTTTCACAGTTGGTGTTCATGGAAACAGGGAAACCAACATTGATCTTGCAAGCGTTGGGGATCTGGCTCAAGAGCTTGTCCTGAACTCCCGCAAAGTTCTTGACGGCGGCCTTGAGGCACCGGCAGATGGCCTTCTTGTCATCGACAGATTTCACGCTCCGTGCAAGCTGTTGCAGGCTGCTGCAGCATGCAGCAGACGGCTTCGCATCCTTCCCAGTGGCGAACGAGATACAGGCAGCTGCCTTCATGTCGACCGTGCCACATGGGATGGCTGCATTACTGAAATGAGCAAAGCAGTAGAGAAGGGAGAGGACAAGGACCATAGAGAAGACAACACTCTTCATTTTTTGTATTTGGTGTTTGAGTAAATTGGGATTCTTCAAATTTTGAAGGATATTGTATTTGGTGAAAAGGGTTGGGTGGATCATTGGGTTTATATAGAGAAGGCCAGGGTGATTTTGAACGTTGGGTTGTGTAAATTGAGGTTTCCAATACCATCTGATGGATAAAATTTGCAGGTGGACTCATTGGGGTTGATTTCGCACCGTCTTTCATTTTTCATGCAAAATTTCTAGGATTTCGATATCACAGGTGTCAAGTATGGGGGTGAAAATGACCCTATCGTAGCCATTGATACCCATTAAATGAAAACCTTTTCTTTTTTTTTCTTTTTTTTAAAACTCATTTTCGATCACATATTCACACATAAAATATTTTGCACGTATACCCTTTTTTTTTTATTACTTTTTAAACAAATATTCATCAAAAAAAACCACCATTCTAAAACTCATTTTACACAAAAAGNTTTGCACGTATACCCTTTTTTTTTTTACTTTTTAATGAGATATTCTTCAAAAAAAAACCACCATTCTAAAACTCATTTTTCACAAAAAGTTTATTTTAATGGATGTCAAACATGGGCTAAAAGTATAATCAAACTATCAATACTAATCACATCTTTCATGGGTCTCATAACTTTTCAACTACACATTTTAAAAACTTATATCATACTCTACTAAAAATCTAATTTTAATCCACACTAAACACTCTAATTTTAGAGTTCAAACCCCCATGTCATATTCAATTTTATCATTATAAGCCCGACAAATGCTCAATTTCGTAAATCGATAACAACAATTGTTAAACTCAATTTTTTGCAAGTCCTGTTGAACCATCTCATTTAAAAATTTCAACTATAGAGATTCTATTTATTTATTTCAATTTAGTCTTCTAAAACAAGTTGCCATTTTGACCCTTTTGGACAATTAAATTCTTAATCTTTATATTTTGTAAAACTTGATAAAATGTAGAGATTTTAGTTTTTTTTTTACATAAACTAACAAATTTATTACAATCAACTAGAGCTTACATAATAGTGCCAGTGGTGCCCATACCAA